ATTTTAATGAATGACAATTTGAGTGGACCAAATTACGACTTGACTAAAGGTGTACCAAATGACGAGTTGACTATGAGAAATGATAAATTTACTTTAACAAATGACAATTTCAGTAAACTAAATCACAATTTAACTGAATAACAATTTAGACATTTCACTCACGTTTCACATTTATAAAAATAGGACCTAATCCTTATTTGCTATTTTTCAAATTAAAAATCTCAAATCGCAATTTTACATATTGAGGGTCTTTATTTGTAATTTTTTTTTTCCCGTATAATAGCTCGCACACTCAAACATCCATTCCTTAAGCAGCGGTTGGTATCAATTGAACTGCAAACCACACGGTTTATCAAGGGAGAACCATGGCAGGTTCACCCCTACCAACCACATCATTCAAAAAATGACTTAAATTCCCTCTGGTAGAAGAGAAATCAAGAATCAAGCAAGGGGGAAGTCAAGTCTCGTCTCTTTCTTTTGTTTTGTTTCTTGTAGGTATCTCCCTTTGAGTTAAGAATGATAGAACCCAGCACTTTATTCCCAAAAAAAAAAAAACAAAGAAAAGAAAACAAGTTTAACACACAGAACACCGAGGATAACAGTCAGGCCAAAGGAGTATTTTCATGTCTCAAGCAGCTTATACAAGCCTTGAAATTGCAGTTACTCAGCCCTTCATAAACACAACAATAATGGCCGACCAGATTTTATTCAATCCTTTTTTTGCTTTTACAAAGAGACAACCCCAAACCATCGAGAAGGAGCTACTGATTCCCAGCAACAGGACCATCCCGACCTTTCTTGATATCATCCCAACCTCTTACCCATGGTTGGCCAGGCGTTGCTCTTGTTTCAGGGGCGGCATGGCTATCAAGGTTCTTCTTGACTCCGTCCCGCACAGCAGCAAAGACCTACAAGGCAACAGATGGTTCGTGTGAGAATTTTAACCCCGAAGAAAAAACACGGGGAGGAAAATGTGAATTGGAACTTCATCATTGAATTGATAGCAAGAAACTCACTGGATTTGAGGTGACTGCTTCAGGGGGTTGCTCCTGCCCGGATACCCATTTCCATAAATCCGGATTCTCCTGCAGTCCAGAAATTAGATGTTTGAAATGCCACGGACTCACAGGTGTTAAGGTTTTTGAGTTTTCAGAGAAGCATTGCTACCGCTCCAAATATCATGTTCTAAAGACCTAAAGAACCAAACGGCCTCTAGCTTTTGACCTGAAAAATTTCTTTTCTGGTCCTGATTAACTAGAAGTTAGGATTCTCTTCCCAAATCAAATCAGATTCCAGACTTGAACTACTCTATCTTACCTTGATGATGTTTGACTAGATATAAGTGGCAAAAAGATAGTCCGTGAAGGGGATTATAATACTAAGTAGTAAAATTAAATCTCTTGCAGGCATGCATTCATTCAAAGAGACAGAGACACAAACAAGAGCTACGGAAGATATTGGAAAGCACTTGATTCCTAAGAACATAACAGTTAGGGCAGATAGAGCGAAATGAATTCTTCCGTGATCTTATTAATAAAAAATATAAGGATGACTCAGAAAATACCATGTCCAGAACATGAATAAGAGATTTAAGCCGATTTTCATCCAAGGAATGGATATTCTCCTCCACCCATTTGCCGAGGACCAAGTCCAGCTCCAGGAACCCTCGTTGCTTGCTTCTGTACAATAATCTACACATAAATTGAAACATGAAGTAAATCAACATGTCAAGTCTATCATTACAAAAAAAAAAAAAAGATGATGGAGGAACGTATTCAATAGAAGAGAGGAGAAATGAGGAGAAAACACTGAGATTCCAGAATGGAACCTATTAAACAAGCGCCTTTTGCTTTCTTCGTTGGACAGGTCTATAGCAAGCGATTGAGCGTCGTTACTCTGGAAGTGAATCGAGAAGACAAAGCATATCCATAGGAAGGCCTAAAAAAACAATAACCCCCACTTCCATAAGAGAAAAAAATTAAAAAAGAAACACCAATCAGAGTTCAAATTCACGGGAGAAATTTATGGTTTAAGGAGAACCTGAGAAGGGGATTTGAAGTAGGTTGGATAGAGCTTGGCGTAGACGCATAATTGAGCACCCTGGAAACGTTAATTACAAGTCTTCGCAAACTCGCCATTACAATCAGATTGTGGTTTCTGCAGAACCTAAACCCAAGAATTTAAATTGCACCGCTGTTACAAACAAATTAATCGCCAACCAAAAGAGAAGTGAAGGGATTCCGCCCTTTAGGGGCTAAGTTTAGGTATTTGGCAGCAATTCTTGCTTTGCTAGTTGGAAAGGAAACCACGCACAGACGAGGCAGGGCGACGACTGTCGTGTCCCTTCTTCAGCCACGGGGGCTAGGAGCGCCGGGTCTTTTCGCGCTGTGAGAGGCTTTAGAGCGTTGGATTAATCCGATGTTTGACAGCGTGACACGGAGTAGAGGCCACGTGCGACCTTGCATGTACACGTCCTTCCTGAAATCGGTGGAATAATAATTAGAGAAGAGAAAGAAAACAGGGATTAGAATGAGGGGTAAAAGAAGTAAGAAAGAATATTAGAAATCAACGATTCTACCTCTCTATCTTTGACAATGGTGGGAAAATGGAGATCAATGATAGCTGACACGCAACAACATGACAGAAGCACAAAACAAGGACATGGTGGCAGAATACCATCCTCGGCCGCCCTGGGACATGTTTATATTGCAGGTTGAAACTATAGTTGTATTTTGAAATCTGTGAAATTGAGGTTACAAATTAAGTTGAACAAAAACTATTGTTTGGTTGGGTTAACTTTTCTAACTAACTTTTGGCTTTCAACCTTAGTTGGATTCAACGGAGAAAAATATGACTTTTCAAACTGCAGTGTCAAACGGTGATTATTAAAAATGAACATTCCAGATTTACCTTCACATTTTTTCCTCTATCTCATCTCCTTCGTTAGCATAATATGTTTTTATTTAGACCAAATAAATTTTAATTTATATTCATGTTTGTCTATTATGTATATTTAATTAATTATCTACAATGTGTTTTCAAATTTTTCTTCATAACAAATATTTTTATTTTATAATTTTACAAATAAACTATTTATATTTTATCATAATAATTTTATGTATTTTTTAAATTATTATCACATTAAAAACTTAAAATTTTAAACATTATTATCCAATAAAGTCCATACCCTTTTTAGTCATTTTACAATTAAACTAACTTTTTTATTAATCATCCAAACAACTTTTAACTTTTTCAACTGACTTTTAAAACCACCTATCCAAACATACTCTAATTGACCTTTACTCTTACTTCAGTTACAAGAATCAGTTGAATTAGAAGTCAACTTTGCGTAACACTAATTCAAACATGCCCTTAGCTTCATTACTTGAAACTTGAAAACCGTTAATTACTTTTTCTAGAATGCGAACTGATATTGTAATTAAAAAAATATTTAGTATAAACAATTACTTATTATATGGGTTAAGTAAATCCATGAAGATTGAATGGGAAATACTATCTCCTTCCATAATATTTTTTAATTTTACATATACAGGTTTGTTCAAGTTAATATACTAAGTAATTTTTTGTTCTAAAAACTCTTTTAATAAATTTTGTTAATCCCAATCTTAGTTCTTACTCTCATTTTCAATGCAAGGCTCTAGTAAATAGGCTCTCTTTTTGGGCTACAATAGAGTTTTAATCCTCGTCAATTTTTCGTATGAAGGGAAAAAATGGAACGAACTGATAAAAGAAAAAGCTTCGCATTCGCAGGCTCGCAGCGTGCGTGCGCCCTGTGCCTTCTATCTTTAATCACTTAATCAGCAAGAGAATTATATAAATATCATGTAAATAGCTCACAATTTTCATTCCCTATATTTTAAAATGGCTAAAAAAAATGGTGAATAAGGTGCAAATTGCTTGGCCTTCTTAATTTTTTCTCTTTTTTTTTTTGAGTTTCATTATTATTTTATTAAATATTTATTTATAGTTATTACTTTTAATTATCTTTTAAATTGTATTATAATTTCTTTTATGAAATATGTTTTTACTGTTTATATGTGTTTATTTTTAAATTTATTTAACATTTTATTTCTTATATATGTGTTATACACATATATAATATTTTTTATTTAATTCTCACATTACTGATTCAGCAGAAAAACCACAATCCACTAGGCTTGCAGGTTCAATATTCAGCTTTTAAAATGTTGATAATGTGTTATAAATAATGTTCAGAGTAACATATAAATGGGATAAGATGGAGCATTTTTTTTAGTTCGATGGTTTAATTTTTTTGTTTTGAAAAAAAATATAAACTCGAATATTAGTTATTTTTAACGAATACAGTTTATCTGTTGGGGGTTAAAAAAACACGCGCGCGCGCACAATTTACAACCCACCGCTACATAATTAAATTTTAATCCTCAAATATATTGGTACATAAAAGTATTAAATTGTTTGTGTTATAAAAACTATAAATTAAATTTCACTACAGCCTTAAAATCTCTTATTAATATCTACGAAAATGGTAAGCGCGCGCGCACAGCGGATAAAAGTTAAATGCAGAATTAATTGAACAGATTTGTGAATATCTGATTCGAGGATTAAAAGACTGAAATGATACTCCTTTGATCCTTAATATAAGACTCATTTAACTAATTTGATTAGATTAAGGAAGTTAGGTAAGTTAGTTAATTATAAGAAATGTGACATGTTTTTCCTAAAATACCGTAATCATCTTTCTTAATACCCTCTCTTCCTATTCTATTTGATTATAGTTGAGAGAGTATCTATAGGGGTAATTTAGAGAAAATTGATAAATATAAAAAATGGGTATTATATTTATAACCAAAACCAACTCAATAATTGGGTCCTATATTAAAGACCGGAAGAGTATTAACTATTAGCACTAGGAAATAGTAACCTCGTGGGGAAATAGACAAGGCGAAACATCAGGTTGACTTCAAACATGGTTTTACATGGACTGATCAAGCAAGCCGACTTCTTCTCCATCCCAAAAGGTGATAGCTGCCCTTCATACATATACACAATACATCTCAAAATCCAAATGGCTTAAAATTTAATCTCCCGCCTTTCTGCAAAGAATTTCCCAGATACAGGTTGGTCAGGAAGAAGGGCAAGCCATACTCCAGTATCAGCTCCTTCCTCAGCAGTGATATTTCCTGCATAACCCGTAAGAGCAGTCTTCACCCACCCAGGGCAATAGCAATTGATGTAAATCCTCTCACCCTGGGGTCGCTCACAAAGCTTTCTTGCCATAAGTCTGGTATAAGCATTAACTGCAAGTTTTGACACAGAGTAGTCAGTGAAGGTTTGAGGCCACCCATTTGATGTCCATGTTCCATCTTCTACTTGATGTAGGAAAGTGGACACAGTCCTGTCAACCAGTTCCTCTGAAAAGGATTCCTCGTCATCTAGTTGCTCCCTCAAGGCTACATCGCCGATTCTCTGTCCCTCAAGCAGCTAAAAATCAGTCTTTTTTTATTTTGGCTACGACCTATAACAAGTTGCATAAGGAACCAATGGCCCTATTGTAATTTAAAGCAGCTAACAACAAGATATCGCCAGAAGGCACACATCACATATTTAAATGGCAGAATAAATGCGAAACAAAACGAAAGGATGTATAATTATATGAATTTTTCAGTCTAACATATCAGTCAAGGGAAAATGAAAATGAAGTACAGGAGAGACCACAGGAATTCTGATAGGCGTCATAAAGCTTAATGCTTCTCTAACACTTTCAGGTTCTAACTTAACCTTGTTGAAAGTTTCAAGTAATATTAGTAGACTAAGAATAAAGAAATTTAAGGAATTTAACATACAAAGAACACGGATATCTCTGTAGCGGTGACATGTTCTAATTTAGTCCCAATAATTGCAAATTCTGAATATGAAGGCAGACAAGAAAATAGCAAATTTACCAGAAGAAAGTGTAAACAAAAGAAGGAATTAAAGATGAAGATCAACTTCGCTTCAGGATATATCACAAGAAAAAAGATTGCTTCGCCATAGTTCGCGCGCGCGCGCACACAACATACATATACATATATGTTGGTATACTATATAACACAGAAAAGATGTATCTTCAGGAAGCAACATAAAGAATTTTCACTTACATTGCGTCTACCATTTAGCCTACCAAGACGCGAGCTCACATTAACAATACGAGCACCTTTAGTGGAAGGCTTCATCAACGGAATCATAGTTTCAGTCATTATCTTAACGCCATAATAATTTGTTTTAATAACCTTAAGGGCATTTTCAACAGAGTTATCAAACCCAAGATTGAAATTAACTCCTGCATTGTTTACCTGCAGAGAATAACATTGTTTAGAAACATAAATGGAGGGCCTGTTTTACTTCCTAGTTCCTGCTAAAATTTGTTGTATTTGAGTAGAATTTCATGGCCAGAAGGTATTAATATAAATTTAAAGTAAACGAACATATATAAGGCAGCGAACATTGAGAAGGTAAACTAGAAGCAATTAGAATTTACGAACAATTATGAAGATCCCAATATCGGTCAGTTGGTCAGCGCTTGAGTTGAAACCAGGTTATATATAAAAAGAAAAAGAAAAAGAAAATCTTTGAAACCAACCAGAATATCCAAACCAGCGTAATTTTTCTGTAACCACTCAGCAAAATGGTAGACGGATGAAGAATCTAGTACATCCAGTTGATGTGAAACTACGCTAAGACCACCTTCTTGCAAGACCTTAGCTGCCTCACAACCGGCACTCGCATCCCTTGATGTTAATATAACAGTCAATCCGTGTCCAGCTAGTTGTCTACAAATCTCAAATCCAATGCCTCTGTTTCCACCAGTAACCACGGCAACTGTTTCCTTAGACCACCACCTGCGATTATGCAAATTAAAGGGGGGGAAAAAAATCTAATGCCATGAAGGGCGGGAAAGATTCTGAATTACTGTAGGTGTAAACAGCAATCACGGTTAAAAAAAATACATATAGCCGTATTTACATACCTGCCTAGTGCGATTATTCTCAGGTCGAATTCAATTATCCAATTAGAAAGACATTCAGTCTTCTGCATTTAGTCCAGATACTTATTATTTAATCGATTAAAAGACAAATAAATTTTATACACCCGAAACTTTTTCCTTTTCTGGTTTTGCCAAGTAGCAAGCTCCTATCCTTACAAGTTTCAGTGCCATATAAATTTGACCACTCTTAAACTCGTAATGCCTCTTTTTCCTGTCAGCTCTAATAGAGTGTGCGTAGTTGGTAGATTTTTGGGATGTTAGAATCCAGCAAATGTTGGTTTTCGGCATCGGGCGATCATAAATCCAACGGCGAGCAAACTTTAAAATTAAGTTCCTTTTAAGCTGAAATAGATTAAAGGAGCGAATAATCCAACCTCTGGTGATCAGAATAGGGCATGGTCCTGAGAATCGATATCTCTTGCATCCTCTTTTCTCTTCGCTCCTTCGCTTTCTCTTTGTTTCCCATATCCTTCTCGTGTCCTATCACCAAAGCTTCGGATATCGAGCTCGCTCACTGTTTGGAGTCACGTGGAACCGCTGGGGGGTGTGGTTTTCAGCCAAATTTTACCTCCCGACGTTGTATGAGACGTCTGAGTTTATACCTCAGGCCGCCGCCACCCGCCAAGGAGCAGCTTCCCGCCGCGGGCACAAGTGGCTTCTTGGGCTTCTATACGGCTTGCTTGCTTCGTTTTCGTGGGCCGGAGTTTACCTATGTTTTGGGCATTAGTCGATTCCGTTAGACCGTTACCATAGTAAGAATGCCTCATTACCAGTTGAAAAGATGCGGGAAGCACATCAATGAGGTGGACGTGCCGGAGTGGTTATCGGGCATGACTAGAAATCATGTGGGCTCTGCCCGCGCAGGTTCGAATCCTGCCGTTCACGATTTTTGTTTTTATTTTTTCTTGTTTCGTTTTCGTCCCAACCTATAAAAAGAGGCGGATTCTGCCGACGAGCATGGTGAAAGTACGAGTCCCATACATATGCTCGTCCGAAGTATCATATCTCCGGCTGATTCGTCACTGAAGCAAAGGTGTGGGTTACATGAATCTCTTAAATGGGATAAAGAGATGCAAATTCATCAAACAACTGCATCAGCTTCATGGTTATTCAATTACTTCCGGTCTCCTCTTCCTTCATCCTTCACCTTTCTTGAATACCATTCTCCACACCCTTGCTTCCATCCTCATACCCACTAACTTGGCCAAATCCGCCACTTTCAACCCATCGAGCTATGCACTCTCTGTTTTCCGTTCCATTCCAAACCCATCAACATTCTCGTATAATAACCTCATTCGAGTTCACACTCTTCTTTCCACGCCTCTCTGCGCCCTCCACATATTTACCCTGTTGCGCCGTCTCTCTGTTTCCCCTGACTTCCACACCTTCCCATTTGTTCTCAAAGCCTGCGCTCAACTCCGTGTTCTTGCCCTCTCACAATCAGTTCATTCACAAGCTTTCAAGTTCGGGTTCGTCGCCCATTTGTTCGTACTGAATTCTCTTGTACGTGTTTACTCTGTCCACGACCGTGTCGACGATGCCTACCAAATGTTCGCCGAAAGTCCTTACAGGGATGTTGTCTCTTACAATACCATGATTGATGGGTTTGTCAAGGCTCGGCAGATTACGCGAGCACGTGAGATGTTTGACCAAATGCCCGTACGTGATGCTGTTTCTTGGGGCACTATGATAGCTGGTTATACCCAGGCCAATTTGTGCAGTGAAGCCATCGAACTCTTCAATCAGCTTCTTGCTTTAGAACTTCGCCCAGACAACATCGCACTGGTCTCCGTTCTTTCTGCTTGTGCTCAGCTGGGGGAATTAGAACAGGGGAAAATTATCCACGAGCACATCACCCGAAATGGCATTCATGTTTCTTCCTTTTTGACCACTGCTTTGGTGGATTTTTATGCCAAGTGCGGATGTCTTGAGACTGCAATAGATATATTCGATTCAAGCACTGATAAAAATGTGTTTACGTGGAATGCAATGTTTGCCGGTCTTGCGATGCACGGCAAGGGTTCGGTTTTGCTAGACTACTTTTCTAGAATGATTGGATCTGGAATCCAACCTGACGAAGTGAGCTTCTTAGCAGTTTTAATGGGATGTAGCCACGCTGGTCTGGTCCATGAAGCTCGAAAACTCTTAAATGAAATGGAACCTGTTTATGGGATTCCTCCGGAGCTGAAACATTATGGTTGCATGGTGGACATGTTGGGGCGGGCAGGTTTGATTGGAGAAGCGATGGAGCTTATAAGAGGAATGCCATATGATGGGGATATTTTCGTGTGGGGAGGGTTGCTTGGAGGATGTAGGACACATGGGAACCTTGAGATCGCAAAGAAAGCAGCCCAACAAGTGATGGAGATAAAACCAGAGGACGGTGGGGTTTATTCCATTATGGCCAATATTTATGCCCACACACAGCAATGGGATGATGTGGTCAAGATTAGGAGATTGTTGAGTGCCAATAAGAAGGCCAAGAAAATCACTGCCTTCAGTTTGATTAGATTGAACGACGACCATGAGCTCGTCCGGCTTACAGCATGACATCTTTAAACTGATCCGATGGAAGCTCTGTCCCTGCAAATATGTCTGTGCCTGTTGTTCCGGACTTGGAATTCTCTATCCTGCCGTATGAATCTTGAATGGATATGGTTGTTCTTTGAATCTCCATCCTGCAAATACGTAGTTGCGTTGCATGGTAATTTGAAGCTGTAACTTGAATACATCTCACTTATAGTTCTTCCTATGTATTCGGCTGCTAATCAAGTGATTGAGCTTTTGCATGCCTGCAATATTTGCAATGAATCAACGTCTATCCTTTACATGCAAAATGCAGAAATATTTTAGCCTAATTTAATATCTTATTCTTTACGCACACACACACAACCAAAAATCAAATAACTTATGGATCAAATAAAATATTTTTCCTAAAATACTCTTGAAAAATTGGAAAACTTGCAATACAAGTATTTTCCACGGCTAAATTTTGAAAAGAAAATGCTCTTATCCCTTAAAAAAAGCAAACATCTGGCAAAAAACAAAAAAAGGCGAACGGGGGAATGACGCAAGATAAATACGTGGCAACTAGCGATTGGACATATTTACGTGGCACCAGAACGCAAAATGCATTGGTTGGAACAGCGACAAGGAAGTCTCGCGGAGAACTATTATAAAAAGGAGAACAAACAAATGATTTCACGGTTTAATAGCTAACATTTTTCATCTAGAATTATATTTACCTTGGAACAGGGTTTTATTTACAAGCCCAATTTTCTTCCTCTCACTCGCATTTTTAGTCTATTAGGGTTTCACTGTGGAGAGTCACTGAGGAAGCGGAAGCCATGGGAGAACGAAAACCGATCCCTTTGGGGCTCTCTTTACTTCTCCTGTTAATTGCTTGTTCTTCGTTTCACATGCTTTGCACTTCTGATGATCACGATGATGCGGTAATTTGGCTCCTTCTGGTCCTTTCCTAGTTTAATTAATTTTTGTCTCGTTCTCTATTGGATCTCTATTTTTTAAAAATTTGTTTGATTTGAATTTCATTTAGATCTTCTACGAGTCATTTGACGAAGATTTTGAAGGCCGTTGGATTGTGTCCGAGAAGGATGACTACAAAGGTAAATATATTGTTCTATCTTTTATTGTCGTCGGAGATCGGTGAAAATGGTGGTTATTCCTTATTGCTGTTTGGTCGCCAACAGCTCCTGAAGGGATGAAACGAGTAAAATTTATTTTTCACTTAACTCTCTTCTTCCTGTCTTCGTTGATATAGAAAATTGATCCTATTGATGGTGCGTGCCGTAAATCAGTTATTACGGATTAACCATTCTCGACTTGTGTAGTCACATCACTTGACTTACATCCCACTCCAAAATACTACTCTGGGATACTGAGAAAGCTTGCAGCTGCGATTGAAAATAGTTTTTAGGAAATTTTCTTGGCAAAATCTGAACTTTTGAGAGAAAATTGGGAGTACTAAAACCAAATAGAAAGGTAAACTTCTTCAATGTTTGTAGTTTCTTTGCCTAGGCAAGCAAAAGGATGAATGTTTGTGGGCATATAAATTTTTTAGGGGAAATAGTGAGCACTGAAGGATTGCAATAAATCTGCAACAATAGGCCGCTGACATGTACTACTATCTCTATTATGAGTTCCTCATTGGCATCGCATTTTGGAATTCTCTTCAAATATTTGTGCGTCTACGGATTACCCATACCCATAAGGCCATAAGATGGCATTTCATTCTGAGTTTAATAAATATTCTTCCATCTATTCTTTCAACGATTTTATTTTTATATCTTTCTCTGATAGTGGAGTTTCATTCGATACCTGCTCCAAAATTTTAAGGGGGAAGAAGATTCTGATTTGTAATGTTTTTCAGGTGTGTGGAAGCATGAGAAGAGTGAAGGGCATGATGATTATGGACTTCTTGTCAGTGAGAAGGCCAAGAAATACGCCATAGTCAAAGAACTTGAGCCTGTAAGTCTTAAGGATGGAACAGTTGTTCTCCAGTTTGAGACTCGTCTACAGAATGGCCTTGAATGTGGCGGTGCATATTTGAAGTATCTCCGACCACAGGAGGTCGGATGGAAACCCAAGGAATTTGACAATGAATCTCCATATTCTATCATGTTCGGTCCTGACAAATGTGGGGCCACAAACAAGGTGCACTTTATTTTCAAGCATAAGAATCCCAAGAGCGGGGAGTATGTAGAACATCATCTGAAGTTTCCCCCATCTGTCCCATCTGACAAACTATCTCATGTATACACTGCTATTTTGAAGACTGACAATGAGTTGCGAATTTTGATTGATGGGGAGGAGAAGAAAAAGGCAAATTTCTTATCTTCAGATGATTTTGAGCCTCCACTTATCCCTCCCAAGACAATCCCTGATCCTGATGATAAGAAACCCGAGGACTGGGATGAGAGACCCAAAATTCCAGACCCAAATGCTGTGAAGCCAGATGACTGGGATGAGGATGCACCCATGGAAATTGAAGATGAAGAAGCTGAGAAGCCTGAAGGATGGTTAGATGATGAGCCTGAGGAGATAGATGACCCAGATGCAACTAAACCAGAAGATTGGGATGACGAGGAGGATGGTGAGTGGGAAGCCCCTAAAATTGATAACCCAAAGTGTGAAGCAGCCCCTGGTTGTGGTGAGTGGAAGAGACCAATGAAGAGGAATCCAGCTTACAAGGGAAAATGGCATGCTCCCCTCATTGAGAACCCCAATTACAAGGGTATATGGAAGCCTCGGGACATTCCTAATCCAGACTACTTCCAACTTGAGAAACCTGATTTTGAGCCTATTGCTGCTATTGGCATTGAGATTTGGACAATGCAAGATGGCATCCTCTTCGACAATATTTTGATAGCCAAAGACGATAGTATTGCAGAGTCTTATCGGGAGACTACATGGAAGCCTAAATTTACTGTTGAGAAAGAGAAACAAAAGGCTGAAGAGTTGGCTCCCGAAGCAGGTGGCCTTGCAGCTTACCAGGTAAAACGCAATTGGCAGTATTCTTTTCCTTGGTCTCTTCCGTAATTTTTATTAACCTCCCCCTCTCACTTTCATATGCACGGACACATAGATTTTGCTTTTTCGCCCTCTCACGCTCATTGAAATTTCAATGTTGCAGAAGAAGGTTTTTGAGCTCTTATACAAGATTGCGGACATTCCCTTCCTCAGTTCCTACAAGCTTAAGATATTTGTAAGTAATCATCTTTGATATTTTTTCAATTCGGAATTCATTACGTTTCACCTTGTGGTATGTGCCCCTAAACTTAATTTTCCCCGCAGGATCTGGTTGAAAAGGCAGAGAAGCAACCCAATCTAACGATCGGAATTCTTGCATCCATTATAGTAGTCGTCTTGACAATTTTCTTCAAGATTATATTTGGAGGGAAGAGGCCTGTGAGTAGCTAAACTCCTTTGATTTTCTTTTTTGCCTGTTAAAATATCTGGTTCTCATGTTCTATCATCTATGTTCCTTTGCGGGAAGTTTTGTTCAAATTTGTCTTCTGACCAATTTGTAATCTTTTTGCAGGCAAGAGTTGAGAGGACAAACGAGCAACCGGCAGAAACTTCCAATAATCAAGGCAGTGCTGAGAGAGAAGAGGACGAAGACAGGGAGGAAACATCTGCTGCTCCCCGAAGGAGGCCAAGGCGAGAGACTTAACACCATTGGTTGAATATGGATGGTTGAAACGTGCGGCTATCAGGATCATTGCTTGATAAGTTTTGTGCTTGGTAGAACGAACTTAGGTCGATTCAATAGCAGTTTGTTTTCATAATTCACTTTTGCATTTTGAGATATGGATATGCTTAAGGAGTGTAAATCAGGACGTGCTTGTACAATTGTTTATCTTTATTTTTACGCTAGTGGAATTGGATTTCCCCCCTTTTTGGGTAAAAGTGGAAGTGGATTTCTTCTGTTGTCATATGAAAGTATGACTAAAAGTGTATGAATAGAAACTAAACTATGGTTTTAAAAGTGTTTTTACAGTTTACGAAATAAATATGTAAAGGAATTTGTTTTGTTTTGTGAAAAAATATTTTTTAAGGATTGCCAAACACTTCCTAACATGAATAAACATTTTTATGCGACATCACTCAGGTATGAGGAGCCCTAACAATAATAAGAGGTGAAAATTTGATGTGATGAGAAATTTACTGCTCGATCGATCTGCTCCTGGGTTTCTCTCTAATGGGGTACTTTTGCAACACCAACCAAATGGCCCATTCGGATGTTGCATGGAGGGATTCACGCTTCACTATGTCAGAGGTGCAGTAGATTAGCAAAACCAGATGTCTCTCCACACGTAACAATTTCTTTGCATATGAATTACAATAATTATGCTTACGGATATTGGTGGAAAAGGCAACGCGTCTTCCATCAAGTGCTGTTGGACATTTGTACTAATCATTGGAAACCGACGACAATAAGTGAGAGAATCGTGTCCCACCATATATGAAGAATCATTATAGGAATTTAAGAGAAACGTTGAATAGGCGTACCGACTAATTGGCCACTAAAAAATTTTCGACCTTCTATTGTTTACCAACCTTGTTTGCGTGCTGCCATTGGCTGGTCTTCCCAATTATAGTCACTCTTCTATTGCTGAGAGGCTTATGGCTGTCTAGGAGCTTTGTAGGAAACTGGAATCCTAACAAGTAACAAGCGCTGCATAACTTGGTATAAGTTGGTATATAGACTGCAAATTAATGTCTTAGTCACCGCAGCTTCATGATCCACCAAGTGGGTGTTAGATTTCCTTAGGGTTCAAGGAATGGATTCAAGTCAAATCCATTTAAGCGCTATAAATTTGCCAAGTCCTTTTGTCCTTTGAATTGTTCATTCTCTTTATTATATTGAACTGTTTAGAAAGCGAAACCTCCAACGGAGTCTATTCTAAATCATCTCCCTGAACTAAATTAAAATATCTCAGGATGCTAATTGGCCTCCATGATGACCTAGTCTGTTACTAGCAGGTTATCATAGTAAATTCCAATCCTTTTCTTCTGTTTCTTCAGCAGACTGTTTCTCTCACAGATCATAATAAAATTATTTGCGAGTGTCTACTGTTTCAAATTTTTAACACGTACTTATAACATAATATAATTTAATGTAACATGAGAAGGAGGCAAAGCATATGCGGGTGGTGTCCGTGAATAGAAAACGATTTTGGCTGCTTATCTGTCCGCGACTTTAAACAGGGCACAAAAGTCAAATTCGTGGACGAACTCGAGCAGCTTCCTCCAAGTGTCAAAACACTTGCGCCTCCTTCCACTTGTTGCAAATAATATCAAATTCCACCTAACCCCGAAAACGCCAACTGCTCCAAATCTTGCATTTTGATTGAAATCACTCTGCAAAATCTCCTTTTTAGTGCTTCTTTAGAACTACTAGCAGCTCATAAATGGAGGGTCTTCTTCCACTTGTGTTCAGAGCAATCAAGAAAAGCAGAACTCGCCGACAGTATCACTGTCTTTCAACCGGAGCTTCTCTCAGCTACATCAACATGGCCGAGATCTGTCCTCAGACTGAATCTCAAAGCCAGGTCTATGAGACAGCTCCCACCCAGAAAGTGGCTCATCATCATCATCTTTATGCAGGGAACAACCATGATCATCGTCATCATCGGCGACATAAATCTGTGGGAGACTTCGATTACGGGTCTCCGTCTGCTCACGAGGACAGAACAGACCGTGGCTCTTCCCCTCCGAAGCAGCTAGTGCGATTTGGAAGTCATAGAATGTTTTCATGTGTCAATGGTGTCTAAGGTTGAAGCACCTTATTGATTTGCATATTTAATAAAAAAGTCGAAGGTTTAACCTCGATCCCAGTAATGTTTCTTCTGTGAACTCCTTTCTGGGTTGAATTATATCTGCACTTTCTTTCCGCTTCAGAGATTCTTGCTATGCCAAGATTTTTGGCTATCATTCAACAAAAAGAAAAAAGAATTAGCTATTAGGTTTGTGGGATTCATCACCTGCCTTTCAAAAGTGAAGAGAGATGCTGGATTCCGCATATTCAGATCTGGGTCGGAGGGAGAAACGGGCATATTTTGATCATTTTGATCTTCCACTGGACCCTGCTACAGTGAAGGGTGAAAAATGGATGATCAGCTGTCGCGGTGTCACGTTCTTGATATCTTAGCTTAATCAATGCCCCTGTGATTAAGGTTTTGGCTTGGGACTGTGCCTTTGCATATGTCCAGTTTTTCACGTTGAGGGAAAAACAAAGATACATGCTACCGGTGCTAGATGAGTTGAGTAATTCAAGTATAATGGGAAAGTTTGTAAAATTAGTTATTTGTAATGAATAGATGTTATATTTTTTTAAATAATCTTATTAATTATGTGTATTAGTTAGAAGTAGTATTTGGTAAAATTTTTAACATATATAACTATTATAAAGATTACTTTAAAAAAAATAAATATAAGAGATAAGATAAATTAAAATCTTATATTTAAAATTAAATTGAAAGTCAAATTCACTCTTATAATATTATTAATGAACGGAGGTAGCATGCAGCAGCATGTGTAGTGCAGTTTTTGACGACTTCTGTGATTTCTGCCATTCATAGTGTTTAGTCCACTCATGTGAAGATATTAATTTGGTTAAAATATTCTGTTGGATCATGATTTTGATTTAAATTTTAACCAGCTCATACTATTCACATAATTTTTGAAATTACTTTGATCAGGTTTTTGATTTTTCTTTTTAATAACCATCACAAACTTAACTAAGATTTACCGTAGCAAAACACATGATTTTTATTAGTTTGTTATGTTATAAGAGACTAACTCCTTCTATTAAATTCAATCTGCGAGGACATAGTTTGCATGTGCTTGAGTGCTAAATTAACAATAGCCGACGACCAAAACTAACAGCGGCAGCAGCCCAGCCCAAATTGGATAACGTGGCACATTCTGGATAGTCGATCTCTTCAACGGTTGAGATACACGGCCGCACTCAATCCCTTCCCCATTCGACAGCATGCTGCGTGGCTCCTTATTTCGTCGAACGGGAAATTTTGGAGGGAAAAGGGGAGAGATCAGTTTTAGAGGGGCTCTCTCCTCTGGCACTAATTCATCTCAAATTTTTTGCCGCTCTTGTTCAATTCCTTACTCTATTTTTTTCTTCCCTTAAGTTTAGTTATTTTTTCCTGTACGCTTCCCTTCCATACCAATTTTTATCATTCTTTTGTGACCCGTGTTATGATTGAATTAATAAAGGTTTCAACTTCATCCTCATGTTCGACTCAGATTTATCTTCTTCAGCTAACGATAGTATTTGCAGTATTTCTTACCCTCGCAAGAGAGGATTCGTTGATGATTTTTCTGTAAAGTCCTATTCTGATTCCCCTTCCAAGAAGAAATCGAGAAATATTGCCGGGAAGAGTACAATAACCACTGTTGATTTGAAGCACTTCGAGGTACCTCTGTTTTCATCCATCAATGTTACCGGTTTTGGGTGCCACTCCATCCATGTTCGTGCTGACCGTCCTTATACGATTGGTCGGAGCCATCGTTATTCTCAATTTGTCTTCCGTGACCCCCGAGTCAGTAAGCAACATTGTCAGATTTTCTTTGACGGTTCACTCCGTAAACTTTATATTCTGGCCGGGGTCTTGTTACTTAAGGATTCCACCAAATGTCTTGTTCACGAATTTAGGAATAGGGTAATGTCATGTCATGCTGGTAAGACCGAGGTCCCGGAGGGTGTTGGGTTTCGAGCGGCATCTAATGGGATTTTTGTGAACGGGATCAGAGTTAGAAGGGGCAAGGCCGTGGAATTGTTTGCTGGAGATAAGGTCTTGCTAGTTTGTGGAAATCAAGAAAATTGTCATTGTAGTATCCGGAATCGGATTGGGTTTCTTATTCAGAGAATTGACTATGGCGACGGTGGTTTTGAAATGCGTGATGATGATACTGATTTTGAGAGCATGCAGAAATTAAGTAATATGTCCTTATCTGAACATTCCCAAGGGCTCACCTCAAGCGGGAAAAGGAACAAGAGAGTTTTTGCTATGAAGAGAAATGATTTGTATTCAGACAGTGCCATGGCAAATTATAAACGAGTTGTTAACAGAGCAAACTTTCTTTTAGATCGGTGCAGAGACATCTTGTTTAGTGATGATCCTATATCTCGCATACTGCATTCTGTACCAGATGTAAGTCTTGGATGCAAAGGTGCCTGTGGAACCTCATTGAACAACTTTTCAGGCGTGAATTTGGGCAATACTATTAGATTATTGGTGGATAGTGAAGTCCAGTCTAAATGCATTAAGCCAGTTTTGGGGCAGGAATTGCCCCAACGGGTGAAATCATCTGGTGGTGGCAGGCAAAGGGAAAATAAAATCACTGGTGTCTTGCCTTCAACTTCAGACATACTTTATGGGAGCAAAGTAGCGTCGTTCGAGGCAAACAGTGACCACCATCACCATCTGTGTGAAAAAGAAAACGTCGGAGCTGCTCATAAGCGTGCCAGTGCTGATCAGAATCCAGATGCCATGCTCTTAGGCGGGGGCTGTCCTACTTCTGCCGGCAAAAAGTTGAAAAGCCATGGAAGCATCTTTTACTCATCACCTGGAAAGAATTTTTACCTGAATCGCCTTGAATTTGCAAACTATGGTTCCTCAGGCCATCATAATGCCATATCTTTACCTGAGCTTCTTTATCCTGTTGAAAGTATTTCAAGGATGTTTATCGCAACACTCACGAGTGATATAAAATGGTTTGACGACTTGTATCTTTCTGTTGTTTTCATTCCTCTCTGTGGCACGCTTTTGTCTAACTGTTGTCTTTTTACTGTAGATTTTTCTTATCTTCTTCACTGCATTTAAAAAATTAAAAATTGCTGGCTCTCTTGAGCATGTATTCATTCTTTTGGTTGTGTTCATACTTTATAATTTATATCACTTCTGAATTCGAACTTCGTTTATATTTGACAATACTAAAACAAGTGTTTTATTAGGTTCTTGTCATATTGTGAGATTCCATTCCATCTACCCCTTACAATTGCTTGTCACAACGCTGAGAGATGCTGGAGCTCAAGACCTGATGATAGAATGTCTATGCCTTACCCAGAATATTCCAACCTAACTGTGGTGTAAGTTATCTTTTAAGGGGTAAATATATGCTGCTTGATTTAGGCCATTATTTTGGTTGCAGAAGTTGGACGAATTATTTAGGCTGACTATCTCCTCTTAGAAAATTTCTTATAGTTTTATGTTGATTAATAGGTACCCTCCATTTCCTGATTCAGTAGCTTTTGGTAATGACCGTAAGAAGCAGGGGATTGCTTGCCATCATCCAAAACTGTTTGTTGTGCAAAGAGAAGATTCTATACGAGTTGTCATTACATCTGCAAATTTAGTGGAAAAGCAGGTGTTCCATTGCCCGACCATTTGCTTACTAATATTTACATATGATATTAGGAATAATAAGAACAAATTGCTCCTGTTATATAACTATGTCAAAATTTTCTACCATCTTTATATAGCGTGCTATAAGACTGTCGTAGATGCATTATTACTCTTATTTTGATAGAAGACATTTTAAAATCTAATATTCAATTATTCATATTAGAAGCTCAAAGGTGCCTCGAATTTTTGGATTTAAGTACTGTAGGACTTGGTATGTAACTTTGAATGGTACCACATTTAGATTGTTTGTCATGCTAAATGCTTCTAAATATTATTTGAAATATGATTTTAAGGCTGCTTGTTGATGAATTACTATACACTGAAATTTTGTTGATGCTTAATCCACTATTTATAATACCTTGATATGTTTGTCTGATGTGTAGGTGCTATTTATCAACTGTTTTATATAATTTTTGGTCTGTGTAGTGGAACGGTGTGACTAATACTATATGGTGGCAAGATTTTCCTCGTGTCAGCTCAGCTAATTATGCGTCGCTTTTCCCAAAAGTTTACAACATGGAATTACATCTGGATTGTAAATGTGATTTTGCTGCTCAGCTGGCTGGGTTTATGGCATCTCTCTTGATTGATGTACCCAGTCAAGCCCACTGGATCGTTGAGTTGGCAAAATATGATTTTGGAGGTGCAACAGGACATCTCGTAGCTTCAGTACCTGGAATTCACCTTAACAGAACTTCCATCATATCAGAATCCTCGCAATCCTCACCTGTGGGCACTCAAATTTATTTTGCTTGTCATGAAGAATTCTTTATAGATATAACTAGAATCTGTTTGGTGTTCTTTTAAGATTTTTATTCTGCATCCTGGTTGTATACTGCTGGGTTGAAATATTGTCCTTTTTAAATTTTACCTTTTGACCTCTCTATGTTGGAGTTTTTTTCTTTTTTCTTTTTTTTAAAAAGAAAAATTAACTCTGATACTAACAGCATCACCAATCATATGATTATTTGATGACTTTTAGTTAAATATATGTTCTGGATTGGATTTTTGATATGCATCATTTGACTCAAGTGGGGGGCTAATCAATGTGAATTATGACTGTTAAGTCTTTAGGTTCCGTTGTGGCATCTGTGGTTGGCATAAGACACCTTTACCAGACAGCAGCAGACTCGAAAGGTGCAAGATTGAAAACACTGGCCAATTTCCTTGGAAATTCATGTAGGAGTTCCCATGGAAAGTTGGAGATTGTTTTAAGAAGAAATACCAATATACTTGCTGATGCAAATGCTGTCAGTGTTCTTGTTCCTGATCCTGATAGAACATTTTCTGGAGGTATAACCTACACTGCTTGAATTTGATACGTGGATAATCCTGGGAATTCTTTATTCCACCATGTGTACTATCCTGTTCTTACTATGGTTTTCAAGTTTAATTTTTCCTTCCACTGTGCTTATATGTATGTTTTAGCTAGTGACTCTGGATGCTGTAGATGACTGAAATAGGTATCTCTCTCTTTTGCACTTCTGTAGAATATGTCCAACTTGGTTTTTTGCCTAGAAATATAGCCCAATGGGTCTCTCCTCTTTGGGATGCTGGATTCTTCAGGTTTTCTGGGTATGTCTGTCCAAAAGAGGCACTTGCAGCTGCCTTAGGAGAAAACAGCAAAAAAGTACAACTGATATTATATGTGTCAGAGGTATATTGGCTTGGCTGTGTCTTCCTATAGGTTTTAATATTGGTCTCCTTCCCTGTACTAGAATGGCATGATATTGGTATAATTTTACGAACTTGTGCAGGGTCAACATTTTGTTGATATGGCAAAGATGATGCAATTTGAACACATCATTGCCTTCAGCTCACTCATGGCTTCAATCCAAAGATCTTATGGCCTCAAGAGATTGCAAGAGGTGATTTGTAGTGTGAGAACGTCTTGTGCATTGACTCTTGCTGCTGCTTCTTGATGTAGAACAGTAGAGGCAAAGGGGAATTATTGGGGGGGGGGGGGGGAATGCAAGACAACTAATGTTCTTCAATTGGTCCAAAAAACTTAGAACAATGTAAGAAAGTAGAATGAGTAAAAATCCTAAAGATGCATAAAAAGAAAGTATATCTAAAGTAGAGCTCTTATGCGAGGAATAATTTTCTTCTTCTTTTTAATTTCCCATCATTGCTCTTGCGTATCATGAGCTAATTGAAGCATTCTCTGATTATGTTTGATCTGTTCTCATATTTTTACTTGTCTGTAGGATTGCAAATCTTTTCTTCTTTTTCACTCAAAATGCTGAACAGTCCTTGCATGAATTAGTGCTTTTGTTACAATAACTTTTGAAAGACCCAGTTTTTTATCTTTTATATTATCTTTTGCTAGGTTCTGAATCGATATAGATGGCCTGAATCATCAGAGTCTGATTTTATATATGGTAAGTTCATTTTGCCAGGGTTTTTGTTTTTGTTAATAATCGGATACTATACCTACCTTTTTCCATAACACCTCAAAATTGAGTTGAACTTTTTTTCCCATCCTTTTGGACCACATCGGTTGATCCTTTTCAGGTGCATCTTCAATTGGTTCATCTGTCAGCCCACAATTTCTTGCTGCATTTTCAGGTGCTACTGGGAAAAAATCATTGCAACATTTTGATTCAGAGGAGTCTGATCCTGAGGTGATTTTAATACCTTCGCTCTTTCTTTAGACCTGACTGAAAAGTATTATCTATTTTCTGCCAGATGCATTTTTTTATTTACTAATTTATTGGTCTAATGATTTTTTGGACAGTGGGGTTCTTGGAATGCTGGAGAAGAATTGAAAAACCCTTCCATTAGGATCATTTTCCCCACTATTGAAAGAGTGAAGAATTCCTGTAATGGGGTTTTGCCTTCAAAACGTATTCTTTGCTTCTCAGAGGTAATCTGATAAGTTGATCAGCTTAACTCACTGAAATGAATGAAGTCATAGGCTGTTCCTAGGAATGTATTTGTTTAGTTGCAAATACATTGTCTGTGTTGTTTTTTTGAAGATTTTTCTATACATACGACCAATAGTCTTGGCTATTGGGTATGGGCTAAGACATCCTGGTGAGAGAGAGGCAGAGCCAATCGATTTTGAAAGGATTCTCATATTATAATTATACGTATTATCTTGGGTGGGTTTTAAATCCGCTTAGGTTTTTGTTCCTCGTTCTGTATTTTTGAAAGTGAATTGTAATAATGTAATGTTGTATTAAAGATGTTGTCAATGAAGAATTGATTGTCCACTTTTGATCAGAGAACGTGGCAAAGGCTGAAGGCTTTAGATATACTTCATGATGCCATTCCTTATCCTGATGATAGAACAGGCCATCCAATGCATGTCAAGGTAACTATCTCCGCCCGTATTTGGATGATTAAATTGTTTGTTTGGATAATATAATCACTTCATATTAGGTGGTGTATAATTGTATAGTCAATTGGCAGGGGGGAAGGAGTCTATGTGAATTCATGTTATATGCATGAACGGGGACCCTTGCAGTGATAGGAATAAAGCAGGGATTGACAGAGATTCACGTTTTTCTCTTCTATAATATCAACATCCATATAAGTTAGAAAATCTATAGCATCCTATTTACAATCTTAAAATATTGCAACTCATTTTTTTTCACACTCTGTAATGCGTGGAACACACCTGTTATTGACTTATTTTGTAACTTACGTATGATACGATCTCCTTTTCCTCTACGTCCTTCTCAAATTAATATGAGCAGGTAATACGGAGAAGATTCTTGTCTGGCGGGGTTGCACCTTCTGTTGGTTGGGTGTATTGTGGGTCGCATAATTTTAGTGCAGCTGCCTGGGGACGGCAAATTTCAAGTTCATTTGGTACGAAAGCTGAAGTAAAAAAAAAAGGGAATTCTTCTCTAGACTCTGGGCTCCATGTTTGCAATTATGAACTTGGGATTTTGTTCACTTTTCCAACAGAAGATCATGATACTTCAAATGTTAGAAGCACAAACTTGGACGATATAGTTCTGCCGTTTGCTGTGCCTGCCCCCAAGTATGGATCTAGAGATAGACCAGCGACCATGCAGGCTATGAGAGAGGCGATGGCTGAACTTTCTGAGCCCCGCGAGGATTATCATGTTGAAGATGAAATTTTGGAAGAAATTACTGAGGGAGAGGAAGAAATGGAGGCAACAGATTTTGCGACAGTGGAGAAGGAAGAGGAGAAGGCCTATGCTGAGATACTCTGGAATCAGGTTGAGTCGCCCCAGAGCCGCTGAAGTCCTGCAAGAAGCAAACATTGAGAGAAAATAGTGATGATTGTGAAGCTGTAAATATATTTGATGCCCAGTGTGGTTTACTTTGTATTATGCTTTTTTTTTTTTTTTTAATTTGTGACTATCAAGTGATTTATCGTAATAAAGAGACAATGTTACATATTGATTGTATTTCTCTCAATCCTTTTTTATTGTTACTAAAAGTGTTTTTACTTATCTGTCATTTTAAAGTTTCGAAACAAAATCAATTACTATATATTCAAATGTATTTGTATCTTTACTTTAAAGCCTACTTCCAATCCAATTGTACCTCTATTTCTATTTTCACCTTCACTTCCTTCAAAAATTTTTACGCATGAATGATCACTTGATGACATGGAAATTTTCCTGTGAATGGGAAGCCGTAGATTTAATCCTGCTAATTTCAAGTTGTTTGTCTTTTTAATTCAAAATAAATAAATAACCAGTTTTTCTAGGGGAAGGAGAAAAACGAACGACATATTATTATAGTTTTGTTTTATTTGATTTTTTGAAAAAGAATTGAACCAGTCAGAAATAGCCCAATCTCTTAGACGAAAAAAAAAAAAAAAACCAGTTCTCCTTTTACAATTTGCACTATTTTTTCAAGAAAAGAAATCTAAGAAAAAAAATCAAAATATTAGATAAACTGCTCTGAAGCAAGGTTATTTTTAGTGTCCCCCCCTCCCAAAAAAAAATTCTTAGAGTCTCCTAGAGGTTGACTCGTTAATACTTGTGAATAATTTTGACTAAATTTTATATGATATTTACATATAATATAGACGCACATTTCATTATCAGAAGACATATTTTGTCAATAGTCATAAATATATGGAAATTCAGGCATACAACTTTTCTAAAGGATAGATGATTTATATTCATAAGCAAACTATGGAAGTTCAAGCAAACTAATTACTAATTGATTTATAATTATCTGTCCATAAGATTCCACAGTTGCCTTGACTAGACGGCCGAGAATAACGTCTTGTTCAAGGACGGACGTCAAAAGAAAGAAAGCATAAGCACGGGGGAGTCATTTTCTTTTCTTTTCTTTTCTTTTTCCTTTAAAAAATAATTTTTTAACTTTCTTCTTTTTTTTTGGCCAAATAATTTTTTAACTTTCAGGATACGTTTTATATGCCCATGCCTTTTTCTTTCCTCTCTCAGAATGTGTGTTTTCCACTTTGTATTTTGTAGTCTTATGAATCAAATTGCATAATAATTTCAAGTCCGAAAGACTTCGCCGCCCTTAAAAGCCTCGGTCTTTCCCTTGCAACTTCCTTGTCACGCATATTTTGCTCTCCCTGTCTTTCCCTCACTTCACTCCTTGCTACTCAAGTGGCGCGTGCTACATACTCGCCGGCGGAGTCTTCCCTCTTCTACGGGCGATCGGCTTAGGTTACTAGGTACTTACTTTGAACTTTGTTTATTTCTTGCTTGTGCATCATTCGTCTCTGTGTAAGTTCCTATCCATTGCGTCTTTGAGCTGGTCTGATGTTCGCCTTTTATTTGTGAATGGTCATGATAAAATCGGAATAATCGCGAGTACAATCGTCGTTTTTATTATCTGCATTGGTTATTGGATGTTTACTGGGAGCACTTGTAGGTGAAGCTCTTGTTTGTTTGCATGCTTATGTAAAGTATGGATAAAATATTGAAAACACGAAATCTTAAATTTCTGTTCACTGTCCTCGCCAAACTTGGAGATTTTTTCTGCTATCGCTGTTTTAGTTCGACCCGTAATTATAATATGAAATACGGTTTGAATTTAGTAAAACTTTTAACAACAGGATCTGCTGCAGTAAAGGGATAATCTGGAACTTAAATTGTTAATTGATATTCAGGACTAAAGGGCGACATTCCTTCTTTCTTATTATGAATGATGAACTGAGTTAATTGATATCATATCATATTTTTCTATTTTTTTTAATTCCATATGTAATTGATTTGTTCTGTCTTTATGCTTGACTAACAACAATCATCATGGTCCAGTGGGAAGCGATTAGAAGGATGAGTTCAAAAAGAGGGAGTGGAAGGCAGTTTACTGCAACAGATGATAATGAATCGTTGTCCAAAGGGAAAAGCATATCTGAATCTAACCCGAATATTGAGCAGTTGTCTCAAGGTGTTGCTGATGTTAACCTAGACTCGGAACAAGACGGTGGATGGGAGGTATATGGAAGGAAGTCCAAGAACAGAGCTGGAAGCAGTGCTGCAAAACCATGGGGTCCTCCAATTCATAATTCTAACCCCAGAGCACGGGGTAATACAGATGTGACTCAAAAGCCTGGCCTTCGGAATCATGCAGGAGCTGGACGGGCTTCTGGGAATCCCTGGCAGCCACATAATGCTAACTTTAGGAAACCTACTGGCACAGGAAATGCAAGACCCCAGATATCTACTAGTGTTCTGAAAGTACAAATATGACTCCAAATCCTTGGATTCGCCCTCCATTGGAGCATGGGTGGAATTGGCAATCTAGAGGTGGTTCAATGCAGCCTAAAACGTATCCCCAAGGAGAAAATGAAATCACTTCAGAGTCCCCTGAGATGAATAATGATATTGATGATGAGGGGGAGGATGATTCTGATGCTCTGGAAGATACTGATGATGATCTAATGAGTGATGAGTATGAATCGGATAGCAGCCAAAAGAGCCACGAGACTAAGAAGAAGAGCAAATGGTTTAAGAAGTTTTTGAGATGTTAGATAGCTTGACTGTTGAAGAGATCAATGAACCGGAAAGGCAATGGCATTGTCCAGCTTGTCAAGGTGGCCCTGGTTCTATTGATTGGTATAGAGGACTGCAACCACTGATGACTCATGCCAAAACAAAGGGGTCTAAAAGGGTTAAGGTCCACAGGGAACTTGCATTGCTTTTAGATGAAGAGTTGCGCAGAAGAGGTACTTCAGTGATTCCTCCTGGTGAAACTTTTGGTAAATGGAAAGGTTTAAAAGATGAGGAGAAAGATCATGAAATAGTTTGGCCTCCGATGGTTATCATTCAGAATACAAGGCTTGAACAAGATGAAAATGAGAAGGTATAGCTATATTTCCTTATTTCTGTCTGATATTGATTTATATTTGATATTATAATCAATACTATGATATTTCATATTAATAATATTGCATCACATTCTTAACCCTTCTGAAAAAAAAAGCTTGTTTTTGTGTTTAGTGGTTAGGTATGGGTAACCAGGAGCTTCTTGATTATTTTAGCTCATATGGTGCTGTGAAAGCTCGCCACTCCTATGGTCCACAGGGTCATCGTGGAATGAGCCTTTTGATTTTTGAGGCCTCAGCTAGGGTTATTTTGAGGCGGAGCGTCTACATAAGCATTTTATAGATAATGGGACTAATAGAGATGCTTGGTTCAGAAATCACCGAATTTTATTTCTTCCTGGAGGGAATCGCCAGCTTTATGGTTATATGGCTAATAAAGAGGACCTAGACTTTTTCAACAAGCATTCCCAAGGTTTACTTCCGTCGCCTTTTCATTTGCACTCTCCTTGACACACATACATGTCTATACGTTGCAGATTCACCATGTTGTTTCCATGGAGACACAAATGTGCTGACATTGTCGTCTTGTCATGCTTTTTTCTCTGGAATCATATAGGTAAATCGAGACTAAAATATGAGTTGAGGTCATACCATGAGATGGTAACAAA